GACCTTGGTGACAGAGACCCCTGTACCAGGGGCCCTGGGGACATTGGTGACCTCAATGCCAGAGTCCCCTGCTCTGGGGGCCCTGGGGACCTTGGTGACAGAGACCCCTGTGCTGGGGACCCTGGGGACCTCAGTGCCAGAGTCCTCTGCTCTGGGGACCCTGGGGACCTCAATGCCAGAGTTCCCTGCTCTGGGGGGCCCTGGGGACCCTGGGGACCTCAATGACAGAGTCCTCTGTTCTGGGGACCCTGGGGACCTCAATGCCAGAGTCCCCTGCTCTGGGGGGTCCTGGGGGCCTCGGCGCTGTCCCCCTGTTTTGGGGTGCTCTGTGTCGGGGCACGGCTGAGCCAGGGAGGCCCTGGGGGTCCCCATGGGCTGGGGGTCTGCAGGAGGGTGGGTGTGAGGGGCTGGCACTGTGGGGGGGACGACACACTGCCATGCTTTACCCCCCCACGAGCCCTGGCAGCGAAGGAACCCGGGGTGTGGCACAGCACCCTCCCACCCCCTCCCCTTCCTACCCCCCAGGCCAGAAGCACTTTAGGAAGGGGGCTCAGGGGGGGCTGCAGGGACCCCCAGCCACCGGCTCAGTGGCCACGTGTCCCCTCCCTGTCCCTCCGTGTCGTTCTCATACGTTATGCAAATATTTGCTGTAAAGTTTGTTTTTTTCGTCTTTTTTTTTTCTTTTATTTTACTTTTTTTCTCCCCCTCCCCACCGCCGACCTCCCCCTGTAAATATCGTCTCTGCCCGTGTAACATATTCCAAAGGATTTATAAGGATTTTTTTAAGAAGTTTTGCTCGGCGGAAAGGCCAGCCCCGACCGGGGGACGTGCTGGACCAGTGGTGACTTTTTAAACCCTCCTGCATGTCCCCTCCCCTTTCCCGGCGTGTTGTCCCCCCGTTGGCCGCGGCGCCGGGATATGCAAAACTGCAAATAAAAAAAAACCCTCAAAACCCCCCAAAATCCCCCTGCTTTGCCCCCCTTCCCCCTCCAGTCCTGGTCTATATATTGGAAATAAACTGGTTATTCAAGGTGGTGGTTATTGCTGGTTTTTTTGGGGGGTCTGTGTGTGGGCCCCCATTTCTTTGTGCTGTGGGTCCTGGAGCACTGGCAGCATCCAGGGAAGGTTTATCCATGGAAGGGTTTATCCATGGGAAGATTTATCCAGCTTTTCTATGAGCCTGGGAGAAGGAAATGGGCCTCCACACCCACTGGGGTGGTCTCAGAGTTGGGGATGTCCCACCCCATCCACCCCACAGTAAGAAAAGACCCCCCATTCCTTGTGCTGCAGGTCCTGGAGCATTGGCAGCATCCAGGTTTATCCATGCAAGGGTTTATCCCACTTTTCCATGAGCCTGGGAGGAGGAAATGGACCCCCACACCCATTAGGGTGGTCTCAGAGTCAGGGATGTCCCACCCCATAACGAGATAAAATTCCCAACCTTGGGAAGGCTTGTGGGGGTGGGAAAAACCA